TATTTGGCTACTGGAAAATGGTGATGGAGGCGAAAATAGAGCGTGAAAGTATAGGGGTAATGATAGTGTAATCCTTCGTGCCTGCTGCTGCTGTACGCGGCGGTCGGGGTGGCGTGGGTGTAGGAAGGGAATGATAATTGGGGAAATTACAGTTGAGAATCCCAATCTATTGAAAATATAGCAAGTAGATTCTCAATCTCCTGTTTTGGTGGCGGCAGTTTCCAACGTTTTTTTAATACTTCAGTTCTCCGTGAACAATTTGATTACGCAAGAGAATGTCCAGTTTCCGTAAATTATTCAGGGTTCGTCTGATTGTAAGGGTGAAAAATTGGTGGAAAAAAATGAATTTCAGGGAATGTAGTTGTTTAGAAAATTGTTTTGCTATGAATTGTTAATTAAGTGTATTTGATTGGTATAATTTTTCACCCGAAAAATTTTTAAATTTTGTGCTCGTTCAGCTTTATTTTACACGAAAATTGTCCATAAAATTGATAATATTTTCCACAGTTGGTTATAAAATTTGTTTCCATTGCCAAAAAGTAATATATATATTCTAAAAAATCATTTTTTTATCAAAATTTAGTATTCGTTTGACTTCTTTTTATATGGAAATTGTCCATTAAAATGAATTTTTTTTAATACTTGATTATAAAATTTGTTTACATTGCCCAAAAAAATGGAAAAAAAAAAAAAGATGGAATCAGATTTCCCACCAAAAGGTGGGAAATCAGATTTCTTAACAAGTGGCCAAATAGGCGCGTGAGGGGGAGGGTGGAATTCTTTTTCCCAAGAAAATTGTACTATCAAACAACACATTAAGGGTGGAAATGAAATTTATTTTCCGAATTCCACGGAAAAGGTGCCCATCAAACAGGGCCTTAATTAAATTTGAATTGCTTAGAGCTCTATCTCAGTTCAGAAGTTAAGACATGTTAATTGGGTTAAATTCACGAATTGCCAACCAACTTTATACTTAGCGTCGATATAACCACTCAATTTGATTTTGTTTTACCATAGCCACCCAATTTTATATTTAGTGTCATCTTAATCCTCTAATTTGATTTTATTTTACCGTGGCAACTCAATTTCATATAACGTTTCACCGTAATTTATAAAATAAATTAAAAAAA